GGTCCAGGGATTTAGCTCAGTCGTTCCACTGCCTGCCGAACAAGCGCAAGGTCCGGAGTTCTAGCCCTGGTACCCCAAAAAAAAAAAAAAAAAGAATCAGTCCTGCCTGGACTTGATCTAGGACTTCCAACCTCCAGAGCTATAAGAAAATGTCTTTTGCTGTTGACAGTCACTTAGTCTGTGGTATTTGTTATGATAGCCTAATAAACTAATACAGTGACTATTTTTAAAATGAGAATGAAACTATCACATTATGTCAGTTATTATACAAATTAATTTTTAATGTTCCATCCATATTTAGTCATTATCAAAAAATAAAGAAATTTTCCTTTGCCATCTATTATCAACCATCTCAACAAAAGAAATGTCCAAACCTTTTTGCCTGAGTTATTACATTGTTTTTTTTGTTTTTGTTTTTATGGGGGTTTTTTGGTACCAGGGATTGAACTTGGGACCTCGAGCTTGCAAGGCAGGCAGCAGAACCACTGAGCTAAATCTTCCGGCCCTACATTGTTTTCTTTTCCTCTCTAAATCCAGCCTTACAAACTAGGTGTGGTGGTACACACCTGTAATCCCAGCAGTCAGGGTGGCTGAGGCAGAAGGATCATAACTTCAAGCCCGTCCTGGGCAAGTTAGCAAGACTCTGTCTCAAAATTAAAGAAAATAAGAAGGGCTAGTAATGTAGCTCAGTGTGAAAGCCCTGAGTTCCATCCTCAGTACAATAAATAAATGAATGAATGAATTAATAAAGGCTTAAAGTTTTTAATGTTTGCACACTTTGCAGTGGTACATTGCCACAATCATCCCATGTGGTGTCTAACACACATAACATCTAACTATTAAAAAGTCTGTCCAGTAGAAAACTTCATATTTATTTGTTTTTTTGTTCTGTTGACAAACTGAAATTTAATCTTTTCAACAAGTTTTTGAAATAACTAAAAATGTAATGTTTCACTAGCTCTTTAATGAAATTTGATGAATGTTGTATGAAAGGCTATCTATCATTGACAACCTTTTATACTGAGGAAGCTTACCATAGGTATGTATCAACTATCTCCTACATAGACATTGCTGTCTCTGTGCTTCTATTTCATATAATTCTTGGTGAACTTTATCACCAGCCTTCTGAAATCTTTTTTGAAAGAACTGATCAATACTGATTCCAATCAGTATTGGAAGTACACACACACATGCTCACTTGCACCCACTCCCAAACTCTCAAGAGTGTCAGGTGGTAGCCAGCTATGATCCAGAACCAGCAGTTTCTTGCTATGTGGCTTTCCCCGTTCAACTCACAACATGACATTGGGTTCCTTAGAGTGAAGACAGAAGTCACAGTCCTGTCACCCATCTCAGAGGGAGATGCCCTTGTGTCAGCTGTGTTCTAATCTTGGAAGCATGTCTGAGTCCACCCTGCACTCCTGGGAGAGGCCTGCAAACAGGTGTGTAACCAGGAGACAAGGTCATCAGGGTAGACAGTGGGAAGGGCCTCCTGATCCTCCTCTGGTCACTTGCCTTTCTCCCAGGCAGGGTGTCCTGGCATACAGGACATCTGTCCTGGCCCTGAGAGCCAGGAGATCTTTTACCTGCCAGTGGGAAAGAAATAGGCAGGAATTCAGAGAAGAGGCCACCCAAATCCCCCACAGGACTCAGAAAGACCCCAAGGGACAACCAAGGAGCCTGGGCAGGTCCCCAAAGTGAAGTAGAGAAGGTGGTGAGCACTAAACCTGCAGATGCCATTAAGTGCCACAATAAAAGGACAGACTGGCCAGAGAGCCAGAGACTCCCAGAGAAAGACTATCCCCAGAGAATGTGTAATATGCAGTAAAGGGCCTGACTGGATGTGGGATGGACAGGCATGGAGGCAGGGGCAGCAGGGCACAGGATCTGGAGCACCAGCCAAGGAAAGTAGGTAAGGATGTGCTTCAGCTGCCACCTCTGAGAGCTGGCAGTAATAGTCAGGCCACAGGATCACAGTGTTAAATGGCTGGGAAGCATTAGGGCCTCACACATGAACATATTGTATATACTATTGTTCATTTTGTAGAGGGTGTAATTGGACACTTATTAGTCTAGAACTGTTGTAGCAAAGTACCGTAAATGAAGTGGCTAACAACAACACAAATTTTGTCTTTCATAGTTCTTGAGGTCAGATGTCCACAACCAAGCTGTGGGCAGAGCTGGCTCCTTCTGGAGGTTCTGGGGAAGAATTTGCTCCAGGTTCTCTTGGAACTACTGGTGGCTCCCCAAATCTAGGTAGTCCTCCAGTCCCTGCTCCTAGCATGGCTGCCTCCCTGGTTTCTCTGCACCTCAAGCCACCCTCTGTTTCCCTCACAAAGAAGCCAAATGTTGGGTTCAGGGCCCTTCCTAAGCCCAGCAGGACATAATCTCAGCATTCAAAACTGATTTACACCTGCACAGACCTCTTTCCCAAATAAGGCCATGTTCTTAGGAACCAGGGGTTGGGATACTGACATGTCTTTTGGGGACTTCTGCTCAACTCGCCACAGAGTGTATGTGTCTGGTTACAGGGCAGAGAAAGAGAAGGAAATTCAGAGTTCAGCTCAGATGTTACCTCTGGGGCTTCCTTGGGTCATGCCACCTTGCCCACACACCTGCTCCACTTTGCCCCAACACACTTGCTGAAGCTGCTGGAAGTCAGCCAGGAAGAGTAGACATCTTGCCCTCCTTGAGAGGTAATTGAGATCAATACCCTTAAGAGGGTATTGAGATCAATACCGGCAGGGTTAGCGAACAAAGCAGAGAGGAGAAAACAGACATGGTTAGGTGGTAAAAGTCAAGTGTAGTGTTGGCTGTGATGCTAGGCTATGTGACAGGGCAGCCTGCCAGGGGTGACATTTGAATCAAGACCTTCAAGAAGTGGACTTGGAGGACACCTGGGAAGGTTATACCAGGCAGAGGGCACAGCTAGGGCAAAGGCCTTGCAGGAACAGCTTGGGGCCAGGGTGCCAACAGTGGACTTGATTGGAGAGGGCAGAAGTGAGAACATGGGCAGGGCCAACTGTGGGGCTTTCACAGGACTTGGTCCTCATGCTGAGTAAGAAGGGACCTTGGGGTCCCTCGCACCACCCTCAGGCCCAGTGATTTACTGATAGGACTCCTAGGACTCCAGAAGCTGTGGAAGCCACAAGTGTAATTGCTACAGAGGAAAACCATGGCAGCAAAAGGCCTGTGGGCCAGAGTCTGAGTGTAGAGAAAATTGTCCTCCCACTCTAGCCAAAGTGCCTCCATCTTGAGTAGCTGTCCATGGGTCTTGTGCACCAGTATGCAGCACAAGATCATCACCACCACGGCTGGAAAGTGCATGTTGAGACTGGCAGAGTTCCTGATTGCATGGGAATGGTAGACACAAAATTTCCCAAGAACCTTTCTTTTTTTGTTTGTTTTTTTGGTACTGGGGATTGAAATCAGGTCCTTGCACTTGCACAGCAGGCGACAAAATCACTGAGCTAAATCCCCGGCCCAATCTTTCTTGTTTTGATTCTGCTTTTGCTCTTCTAATTAGTGCTCTATAAAATCAGTGGCTTAATAAAGAAGGGTTGGTGACTTAGGTGGTACTGTACTGCAGCCCACTGGTCATCCACTGCTCTGTAAGTGACCCCTAATAAACTCAGTTTCTTGCCAGGCTGGACTTGACTGGGTCATTCTTCAGATTGTCAGTTTGGAGACAGATATTTCTTTTACGTTTCTCTGGGAAATTCGTGGAACACCAGGCAATGCCAGGTGTGGATGTCCAATGGTCCTCTCCTGTGCAGCCATTGGACAATGTGCATATCTTCCAGCAGTGACATGTGATAGTGTGCACAAGGGCCACCAGCCTTGGTGTCTAGGGTGTTACTGGTTCTGCCACATAGGCAATAGCTGGCCATGAATGGCTGACCTCAGTGTCCAGCCCCTCCAGAGGTCAGGATGACATTGCATGGCCCCAGGACCCACCATCAGTCATATTGTGAACACAGATTGCCTGGTGTGACCTCAGGTCCCAGGTAAACACACTTAAACCATGAAGGATGCTCTAGTGTCTCAAAGGGTGTCTCCCAGGCCCTGTTGCAGGGCCAGTATCTGGAAGATGCAGAATGTGAATCCCCAAACTCACTGAGCTAACCCTTTTAAGGTTAGGGTGGGTGACTAGGGCAGGCCAGAGCGTCTTGAGCAGAACCCTCTGGTGCTAGGTAAAAGCTAGGAGAACAGTGTGGTCAGCAGAAGGAGTTTCCTTGGGGTTTAAGCCTGAGGTGCAGCAGGTACCCTGGTCTGTAGCAAAGGAAGGGGCAGGTGTGAAAGGGAGGTGCTTGCAGGGAGACAGTGGGATATTGGGGTTCAGGAGTTTCTTGTGGGAATCTCATTAGGGTGTGGACAAGGCAGCCTCCTGATGTTTACTGCTGCAAGGGGGTCCCACGGTAGGAGAGGAGCATGTTAGGAGGAGAAAAGAGAAAAAATTGCTTTCTGGGAAGGTGGCCTTGTAAAAGCATAGAATTTTGAGTCAGTAAGAGATCTGTGTTCATGAAGTAAAGTCCATCCCCTCACAGCCTGCTGGTGTATTTATGGGTCACTTTCAATGGCCCTACCGTGTTCCTTGGAGGACTGGCAGGAAGGGCTGGCCCCACTTGTGAGCCTGTGGGGTTTTCTGCAGCTGAAGCAGGCAGGCTACTACCTGGTTGGGCCCCCAGATGCCCTGACCCCCAGTCCCCTCTAAACCCTTGGGGGGCCAAGCTCGAGCAAACCCAGGTTGGGTCGCCGGTTGTGTATGACAGGAATGGGGTGGGGATGCAGAGCCAAGCAGATGCCGCCTCACGCCCGAAGAGGCCCAGACCGAGCGGGCAGGGCCTCCTCCGAGAGTGGGCGGGGCCTCCGCCGAGAGTGGGCCGGCCCTAAGGGAACCGAACCTCACATTGGGCTGGGCAGGGTGAGGCGGGGCCCGTCCGCTGGCCGAGAGCTCCAACCCGGTCCCGGCCCGCAGAGGCGGTTCGCGAGGGGCGGGCCGGCTCCACCCCCCGGCCCCGCGGTCCTCCCGCCGAGCCCGCGCCTCCCAGTTCCCGGAGCCCGGAGGGGGCTCGAGGCGGCGGGGCTGGTCGGCTGGGTTCCGGGCTGGGGAGCCGCAGAGCGGCGGAGCGCACGGCAGACCGCAGCCTGGGCCCGCCGAACCATGGCGGCCCCGGAGCCAGCTCCAAGGCGGGGCCGGGAGAGGGAGCGGGAGCGGGAGGACGAGAGCGAAGACGAGAGCGACATCCTGGAAGAGAGCCCGTGCGGCCGCTGGCAGAAGCGGCGGGAGCAGGTGGGCGGCGGAAGGGTGGAGGCCCGCGCAGGAGTGGTGTCTGTGGTGTCGGGGCAGCCCGAGGCCTCTACAGCGGCTGCGTTCTGGCTGGTCCTTAGGGTTCCACTCCCCGAGGACCAGTGTCCTTCCAGAACCACCTCCCATGTCCCCGGATCCCTGCCAGCCCTCTAGGGCCCTGCTCCAACCCCTGTGGATACCGCCCCTAGGCTCCCAGGGACCGGCCCCCTGCAGGTCCCCAGCTGCCCCTCGGAGCTGGAGCTGGAGGGGAAGGGCTTGGGTGGGACGAGTCCCCACCCTCGACCCTATACTTACCGAGGCACACATTCTCCCTACTCCCAGGTGAACCAAGGGAATATGCCTGGGATCCAGAGCACCTTTCTGGCCATGGACACGGAGGAGGGGGTAGAAGTAGTGTGGAATGAGCTGCACTTTGGTGACAGGAAGGCTTTCGCAGCCCATGAGGTGAGGCTGGCTGCCCCCTCCCGACCTGTCCAATCCTGTGACCACCCGGTGACCGCCTTCCCTCTCCAGGAGAAGATCCAAACTATGTTTGAGCAGCTGGCGCTAGTGGATCACCCCAACATCGTCAAGCTGCACAAGTACTGGTTGGACTCCTCGGAGGCCCGAGCGAGGGTGAGCCAGGGGTGGGTGGGGGTAAGGGAGGCCCTGAGCCTGGTGGGGAGCCAGGGGTCCCCACCTGCAGCGGCGAAGCCCGCGAGCCCACCCGTCCTGCAGGTCATCTTCATCACAGAGTACGTGTCGTCGGGCAGCCTCAAGCAATTTCTGAAAAAGACCAAGAAAAACCACAAGGCCATGAGCACCCGGGTATGGGGAGAGGCTGGGGCCAAGATGGGGAGCGGGTGGGGCTCAGGACAGTATGGGGGGGGGCGCAGGGCGGCCTTGGACCAGGGGTGGCCCACGGCAGGCTTAGCAGGGCCAGCCTCTCCCGCGCCCATCCAACGGGAATCGTGTGTCCGTGTGTCCACTTCGCTGCCAGGCCTGGAAGCGCTGGTGCACGCAGATCCTGTCTGCACTCAGGTGAGGACCAAGCTGCGCATGTGCTTGCCCAGCAGCGCCCATCTCTCCCACGACCTCTGACCCTCGCGCCTTCCCCCACTCATCTGCAGCTTTCTGCACGCCTGCAACCCCCCCATCATCCACGGGAACTTGACCAGTGACACCATCTTCATTCAGCACAATGGCCTCATCAAGATCGGCTCCGGTGCTGCCTGGAAGGGGCGGGGCGGGGCGGGGCGGGGCGGGCAAGGGACCTATTGGGAGCCCAGGACCTGACACCTGCTCTTTCTTTCTGTGGTGGCCTGCGCAGTGTGGTACCGCATCTTCTCCAATGGTGCGTGAGGCCTCTGGGGGTGGGGTCCGTGGAAAGGCCTGCTACTTAGCGCTGTGCTCTTCTGTAGAGCTTCCGGATGATCTCCGGAGCCCCATCCGCACTGAGCGCCAGGAACTGCGGAACCTGCACTTCTTCCCACCAGAGTACGGCGGTGAGTCCAGGAGGGCTGTTGGCGACTGACCTGCCCCTACATCTGCCCTACCCGCCCTGCCTTGCTCTCCCCCTTTCAGAGGTTGCAGATGGCACTGCAGTGGACATCTTCTCCTTTGGGATGTGTGCACTGGAGGTACTGGCCTCACTTCCTAGCCCCCTCCAGGTGGAGCTCCATCCCTTCTCACCTATGCTGTCTCTTCTGGGATCTCGACCTGGCCCTGACCCCAGATGGCTGTGCTGGAGATCCAGGCTAATGGAGACACCCGAGTCACAGAAGAGGCCATTGCTCGAGCCAGGCACTCACTGAGTGACCCCAACATGCGGGTGAGCAGCTTTCGCCATTCCTCTAGGGGTGGCTGAGGGCACCCAAGGTAGGACTATGAGGTGCTCTAGGCAGTAGTTAGATTGGTGCAGCTGAGGGGTGTGGCAGCCTCTGTACTAAGGCCCACAGGCAAGGAAGACCCTTCTGGGAGCTAAGGTAGGGCCTCAGGCAAGAAAGAATTCATAGAGTCTAAGGATAAGGAAGGACAGCAGAGACACTCTGTATATGGTTACTATTACTATGCCAGTTTTATAAAGAAAATAAGGCTCGGAGAGACCAAAGACTTTCCCAAGGCTTTAGAGTAAGTGGTGGAGCCAGCATTTGCACTCAGGTCTGCCTGACCCAAGTCCCTACTTCTAAGCTCCCAGGCTTGTGTAGGGCATGGTGGGCACAGGGCAGACAAAGGAAGTATAGGACGGAGGCTGTATCCACAGCCTCTCTGGTCAGAGTCCAGCAGTTTAACAATTCAACCTCTGGGGATAAGGGAGAGGAGAATGGGACTTATGTGAGCATGAGAAGCCTCGGAGGCAGGGGGGGAGGCAGGATGGGGACTCATAAAGGTCACCTCCAAGTTGGGGGCAGGCTGCGATTAGGAGGGCTTTTATCTGTGTATTGGGGATAATAGTACCCACTCCCCACATTTCCTTGATGATCAAGGGAAGTAGAGCTTGAGTGTTCTGAGCTTGAAGCCTGATTATCCGAAAGCTCGTAAGGTCAGATCCTGGCCTGGCTGCTAATGGGATACCTTTCCCTATGTGCATCCCTGTAGCAACCCTGAGGAAGGGGCATATGAGGATGGAAACTTGAGGTCTAGGGACTTTAGGGGGGGCCTCCTCTCTTCACACTGTGGGGCTACAGCAGGGAGCCTGTGTCTACCACCACCTCTCCTCTCCACATACCCAGGAGTTCATCCTTTCCTGTCTGGCCCGGGACCCTGCCCACCGGCCTTCTGCCCACAACCTCCTTTTCCACCGCGTGCTCTTCGAGGTGCACTCACTGAAGCTATTGGCAGCCCACTGCTTCATCCAGAACCAGTGTAAGGGGCAGGCAGTCCTGGATGGGTCAAGGGTCTTGGGATTGGGATGTGGAAGGAGCCCTGCAGGACCTGTGGCTGGCAACTAGAGTGCTCCTGTGGCCCACAGACCTCATGCCTGAGAATGTAGTGGAGGAAAAGACCAAGGCAATGGACTTGCATGCCGTCTTGGCAGAGATCCCCCGGGCCCACCAGCCTGCGATGCAGTGGCGGTGAGCAGTAGCTACCCTGCAGCCTCCCGTCAGTTTCCTGGCCAACTCCTGGTTGCACACCCTTCATGTACCGCCCACCCCCTTATCAGGTACTCAGAGGTCTCCTTCTTGGAGCTGGACAAATTCCTGGAAGATGTCAGGTGAGAGCTGGCTGGCATGAGACTGGGGAACAGATGTTGTCAGGCCTGGGCCCCCAGCCACTCTGACCCCATGTGTCCTCAGGAATGGGATCTACCCACTGATGAATTTTGCTGTCGCTCGGCCCCTGGGGCTTCCCCGTGTGTTGGCTCCACCCCCTGAGGAGGCCCAGAAGGCCAAGACTCCAACGCCAGAACCCTTTGATTCAGAGACCAGAAAGGCAAGTCCCACCCCTGCTTCACTGTGCTGTCTCCAGATAACTGATGCCCTTCTCTCTGGGCCTGCATTCTCCATCCTCCTGGGCCAGCTCTCCTCCAGACTGCCCAGGTCCAGGCTGGGGCCTTTGGGGTGTGGGTGGGGCCCTAGGACATGCTAGGATTCCCCTTTTTCCCAGAGGTTCCTTGCTCCTACAAGCCCTTCCCCCATTCTGCTACCTGCCCAGATCCCTTTGTGCTCCAAACAGCTTTCCTCTGGTTATCTCATCTGGTCTAGCATTCTGATACCACCCACTTGGTTGGCTGATTCTCTGACACTTGTGTCCTAGGATACTCCCTAAGGCCTCCCAGGTACCACATTTCCCCAAATTTCTCTTCCTGTAGAGCTGCCTCCTGGTCAGCCTCTGTCTCTCCCTTTACTGTTCATACCCATACCCACTGAGTTCCCAAGGTTCTGGGTTGGCCTTGCTTTGTCCGGGGCCACTATCCTGATTTGAGCCACCTCCATTACTTACTTGGATTTGCACCAGCCCCCAGCCTGGCCCTATTTGTCCTGGCTTCTTCCTTCCACAGAACTACCTGAGTTCATGTCTTAATAGCCAAAGCTACCTGGTTCCTGGCTACCTACAAAGCTCATTGGAGTCCTGAGCCCAAGTCCCCAACACTATTGAGGAATGGTCTTGCTGGCATCCTGCTCTTCTGCACTATCACATCCCTACTGACTTCTCCCCTCTGCTTCCCACACTTCCTTCCTTTTCAAGGCATTCTTTTCGCTAGTGATGTCTCCTATTTATCCTTAAGTACCCAGCCCCATTGTCTACTCATGGAAATTCTCCTTAATACATCAGGCAGCTAGTAGTAAGATGTGCCTTCTGGAGTAGCCCTGGGAGATTTTTTTCTAATTCCCTTTTCTTTCTTTCTTTCTTTTTTTTTTTTTTTTTTTTCCTAATTTCTAATCTCTGTTGTCCTTTCTGGGCCCCTCTGTCAAGTTTCTGTCCTTGTGAGTAACATGGCCTCCCTACCCCAGGTAATCCAGATGCAGTGCAACCTGGAGAGGGGTGAAGACAAGGCGCGCTGGCATGTGAGCAGGGTCCTGGGCTGGGCTGGGCAGGCAGGGTAGGCCAACTGTGGCTGTGTCCGACCATGCCCTCCCACCCTCCAGCTCACACTGCTTCTGGTGCTGGAGGACCGGCTGCACCGGCAGCTGACCTATGACCTGCTACCAAGTAGGCAGAGAGGGGCCCTGGGTGGGGTAGGCCCAGGTGCCAGGCATACAGCAACCTCACAGTTTGCCCCTTGTCCTGCTACAGCCGATAGTGCCCAGGACCTCGCAGCTGAACTTGTGCACTACGGCTTCCTGCATGAGGTAGGCAGGGGGCATGGCTGCAGGGGTATGGGGTGGGGCTCAGGACAGATTTGTCACACTGCTTCAACCCACCATGCTTCCCTCCTCTCTGCAGGATGACCGCACAAAGCTGGCTGCCTTCTTGGAAACCACCTTCCTCAAGTACCAAAGGACCCAGTCCTGACCTTTCCAACCCTGGAGGCCCAGCCCAGGTGCTGCCGGCTCAGGGTGAGCCACATGGGGAAGAGTCCAGCACTGCTGGAGCTGTCCTCACCAGCATGCCTGAAAGCTGATGAACACCAGCCTGCTAGTGAGGACCCCCAACCTTCCCTAGCAGTGTGGGCCCTGGCATGGTGGTGGGGCCAGTGAGGGGTTAAGGGAGCCTGGGTGGGGTGGAAGGTGGGGGTTATCCCTGAACAAATCTCTGCCAAGGGAATGGTTCCATGTGGTCAGGGTGAGCAGCCATCCCTAGATGGTACCACAACCAGGCCAGGAGCCTGGAACTCAAACCATGTTGGAGCCCTAAGGGTGTCAGACACAGCACTAGGCACCAGAGATGGCTGGAGCCAGCTGAACAAACAGAGGGTAGAGGGCCTGGAGTTGAGGCCATGGTCTGCAAAACCTCTGGTCCCATGCAGAACCACCCTGGATCACCCCCTTTGGCCTTCCACTCACTCTGAGACTAGGACCTGTGCCCCCACCCCCATAACCCCTCCAAGGGGCTGTTTGTCTCCTGTGTTCCCTGGCCTGGAAGGGTCAGAGGTCAGCAATCTACCACACCCTTATCCTGGGACAGCTCCTTCTGGAGCCCTGAGGATGTGCATTCCTGGCTCCTTATCTCTCTCCCACTCAATTACTGTTTCAATTTTGGACATTTCAATACCCTGGTGGATTCTATACATACACACACCCCCAATCCCCTGCCCTGGTCTCTTAAGTTGTATATATAAATTTAATACATCAGGTTTCTTATTAAGCATTTCAAATGTCAAAACAGGAAAGGTCTCTACTGTTACTAGTTCTAGTATATTGCCACTGTAAAATTTATCACAAAATTGGTGGCTCAAAATCAAATTTATTATAATTTGTCACAATAGGTCAGAAGTCTGATATGGGACTAAAGGGGCTGGCAGGCTTCATTTCTTTCTAGGCGACTTAGGGGAGAATCCATTTTCTACTCATTTGGGCAATTGGCAGACTTATTCACTTCCTTGTAATACTAGGGCTGAGGTCCCCATTTTCTTGCTGGGCGTCAACTGAAGACCATTCTCAGCTTCTAGGGGCTGCCTACATCCTTTGGCTCTCTCTCCACCTTCAAGGTCAGCAGTAGCAGGCCAAATCTTTGTCTTAAGTCAGCTGGTTGTCTGCTGCCAGAAAAGTTCTACATAAGGACTCCTGTGATTAGGGTGGGTCCATTTTGAAAATCCGAGATGATCACCTTAAAGTCTGTAAGATTAAACACATCTGCAAAGTACTTTCTGCCATGTAAACTAATACTCACTGGCTCCTGTGGTTAGAGAATGGACATCATGAGGGTAGTGAGATTTTGCCTAGAATACCATCCTAACCAAAAGCCAAAAACCAAAACAAAACTGCCAAGGGATATCAAATAAATTAAACGAACAATTATAGTGAATCTCAAGTTATCTTAAACATTCCAATACTATTTACAACATTTTTAAAAATTTCATACCTTTCAACTTAAAATGCCGATTTCAAATAACTTACACAGTCTAGGAGGGAATTCTATTTAGCTGTCTGATTGTGCATGGTCATGTTGAGTGGCAAATACATAACAGATTGTACCAGTGATTAAAATGAACTTAAGAGCATCAATACTACAGTCTGCATTTAATCATGCCTATGCTGAGTTTTTTATCTTTTCATAGTTATATGCATATTGTTTTATAAGTGAAATGGTTTAGGGGGAGTAATAACAAATAAGAAATGCAGGCTCCTACCCTAATCCACCTGGGATTCAACTCTCTTAGGTGTTTTTCAGGCATTTAGAATCCATGTTTCTCAAAACTACAAGCATGGGGCCGGGCATTTAGCTCAGTGGTTCTGCCGCCTGCCTTGAAAGCTCAAGGACCTGAGTTTGATCCCCGGTACCAAAAACAAAAACGAAAAACTACAAGCATGCGTTTGGTCCTGTTTATTAATTTTTCTACATCAGGTACCCAAGGTGGCATCCTCTATGGCAGTGGTGGTGAACCTATGGTACGCATGCTGCAGTGGGCTATTTGTTATCATTGAAAGCTCTAAAAGGTTCACCATAACTGCTTCAAGTGGAGAAGAAATCATCTGCCTCCCCTCTGATCCAGCATTGTACTAGTGTGATGGGTGGCATAGCTGCCTAGGTATGATTCGGCTTCATTATCATAGGTCTCAGCAGAGAACAAGATATCCTAGGTTATATTTTATTTCCTGCTCAATGTTTTATTTTCTATGGAGTTAATAATTGTCTTGTTTTTAAGTTTTCTACATGTGTCTGCCATTAATTCATCTTTGGATACCCCTGCAGAAATGTGGACCTCCTCTTAATACTTAGAGGAGTCAGGGCATAATTTACCAGTTTCTTCTTTTCTAATAGCCCTTACCATGTGAGCCCTATGTCCCAGGCTGCCTGCTCTTGGATTGTAGCCCACTGCCACCCTAAGTTACCCTTCACTAGTGTCCTAAGACACTCCCTATCTCCTCTGGATCCCATGCTTTCCTCTCTCTTCACTCATCCCATGTGAGAAGGAACATCTTCCAAGTAACCTGAGACAGGATGCATGGGAGGTTAAAAGTCTTTGCTTTCCTGTCTTTATTCTAAACTCACATGCTTGAAAGTGTAACTGGGTACAAGAAACTTGGCTCCATGCCTGTAATATCAGCACTTTGGGAGATCGAGGCAAGAGGATCACAATTTTGAGTTCCACTTGGGCAATTTAGTGAGACACTGTCTCACTGTCTCAAAACAAAAAATAAAGGGCTGGAAATGTAGCTCAGTACAAAAGCCCTGGATTCAATCCCCAATACCACTACCATCAAAAAAGAAAAAGAAAGAAAGAGCTCGATTCCTTTGAAAATCCTTTCTCCCCTAGGATTATGAGGGTGTCACACCATTTTCTTCTAGTTCCCAGAACCTTCATGCCTCTGAATTCTGATCCTTTACCTATGAGCTCTTTCTCATTCTTTCTCAATCTTTTCTTTGTGCCAGTGCTTTGGAAATGCTCAGTGACTCTTTCGTCTATTATCCAGAAACGAATTTTCTTCAATTATTTCTTTGTTGATTTCTTTCCCTATTTTCTGGATTTGAAATGTAGGACTTACCTTTTGAGGGATGCAATCATGTGGTTAAGGGCCCAGGCTCTGGAGCTGACCTGTGCTCCCCGAGGTATGACCTTGGTTGACCCTGCACCTCCTTATTGGGAGTACTGAGGGTAGTCCCTCTGCAGAGTGTTGCTATAAGGAGGGCAAGAACTCTGAAATCTGGGGCAATAAGGAAGGACAGTGCCAGGCTCCAAGTACCTAAGTGTAGTGTTACATATCACTGTCCACTTGAGAACTGCTACCAAGAGGCACCCCTTGGGGCTCACCCACCCCCTCCACTGTGGAAGCTCTGGTGGGCCAGGTGCGTTCTAAGCACTGACCAGTGTGATTATAACAGTTTCTGTTTTCTATCTATATGGTTTTATTGTTATACATTCTAAAGATTCCAACTTTACCTTTCAAACTTATTAAATTGTTCGTTTTCCTCAAATTTTCTTTTTGGAAGGACTCTCTTATCTGATTAATGTTCTTTCTCTGTAGCTCTCTGTTCTTGTTTTTGGGATGCAAAATCTAACAACTCTGAGGATAGTATTTTAGCTCTTTTTTTCTTCCTCTCCTTTTTTGTTTTTTTTTTGTTTGTTTTTTTTTTGTACTGGGGATTGAACTCAGGACCTATTGCTCGCTAGGCAGGCACAGGCGCCACTGAGCTAAATCCCCAGCCCACCTCTGCTTTCTTTTCTTTGCCCACAGTTCCTTTTGAGGCTTGTTTCCTTATTCTCGTTTACCTGGTGATCCTGAGCTGTCCAGTGAGCTTAAGAGTGAACTGCTCTTTGTGGCTAGGTTATTGCCTGATGAGTTGGGAGTCTAGGGTCTAGCTGGACCATTCTAGTAGGCACCCCTGCTGCCAGTCTTTAGAGCTGGGAACTGCTGGAGGGAGGAAATCTCTCAGAAGAGCCTGGGTGGAACATGTAGGAGACTAGGCTCTGGGAACAGGATTGGTAGAGGTAGGGAAAGGGCCAGGACTTTTGCTCACTGCCCTACTTTTGAAACAGGGCAAGGCCTTGGTGCTCATCTCCTGGAGCTCACATCCCAGCCCCTGCTAGTGGGGCAGTGCCTGTCAGCCTCAGTGGTAGGGACAGAGATGTCCTGCTTTCCAGGTCCTCCTTCAGACACTAACCTCCACAGCCCAGTGGACTAGAGCAGCTCTGCTGTCCGGCTCCACAACTCCAAGACAATCCACCTGTCTGCCTTTATAGGCTTTGCCTCTTTTAGAGGGGTTTCACGAGCGATGGGAGGAAAATATTCTGGCATATTTTACTAGATGTGTCTATATTCAATTTCTAAACTTTCCCAAGGTTGAAAAGAGACCTGCCTAGCTAGGGAAGATACTTCATTATCTCAAGCAAATGAAGATGCTTGAGTTTACAGAGGTGGTTTCTTCCAGGTGGATAACTGAACTGAGATCTTGGGATTGGGTACAGCCCATGACAAAGGTCGGGCAGCTCTTTGCACAACACAGATGGACATCCTGAGCCTTTTATTATAGCTCGGGGCCCAAGGGGGACCTCCGTGCATAGTGTTTCCACAGGATGACTGGCTCACGAACTGTTTCAGACCGCAGGCCCACCAATTGTATGCCATCAGACCTAGAAAGCATCAGTATTGAGAGGCACTTCAGTTTTTATGAATAACTAGGAAGGTGAACACGCTGCAAATTAAATGAGGACTCCTGACTTTAGAGATGTTACAACGCAAAGACAATGCATCTCAAAATCTGAGGTGCGGCCTGAGACGTGGTCCTTTTGTCACCCGTCTCAGCTGTCTACGTAGAGTCCCTTGGGCTGAAAGGGCCGTTTGTCTCGTTGTCTCTTTGGTAACAGCGAGCGAACACGCCTGAAATAAATCTGTCCGTAAAGTAGGCAGGGATATAGAGCACTGGCCCGCAACGGGAGGTGACGCAAGTGTGTGGGCGTAAACACGCCGGCAGCCTCGCAGGTACAGGTCCTCCAGAGCTCGCGTCCCCACCCCCTGGGGTTGCCCCGCCCTGCCCTCGTCCGCCAGTCCCGGTGCGCCAGGCCCCGCCCTATCCGGGACTCTAATTTTTCCCGCCCCGGAAGCGTGTTCCTCTCCTATCACGTATCTAGGGAACAGGCATTCTATCGCGAGAGTTGCTCCGTTGGCTGCCAAATCGCACGAGACTAGGGAGGAGGCCGGAGCGTGTGGCGCGCTCTGCGGCCGCGACGGACGCAAGATGGCGACGGCAACCATAGCTCTCGTAAGTGACCCCCATCGGCCACAGGCGGCCCTCAGCTGGTGGGAGCGTGTCATCTGTCGCCTGGACCAGATCGTGGAGGCCCCCCGGTGGGCGGCTGTTTTCCTGGGTCCCTCGCGGATCCTCCTGTGGCCATGGGGCGAGGGTGGGGTGGATCGTAGCTTCCGGCCCGCCGACTCTAGCTTCCGGCGGGCCGCGGGATGCGCCGGCCGGGTGTAGGCCTGTGATGGACTGAGCCCTGCAGTCCCGTGCAAGCGGCCCCCAGGGAGGATGGCATCTGCTCCCCTACCTCCCCCATTGGGCTCCCAGTTGGTGGGAGTGTAAGGGGCAGGCCTGCAGCCCGGAGAGGAAGGGTGGCCTTGGCTCCCCGTGCTAGTCGTTGTGATCGATCCCCGCCGGTGCTCTGCAAGGAAACTCTTAATCCCATCCTGTTATTCCACTCAGGAGAATAAGATGTGTTCTCATCACACGTCTTTCGAGCAATCGCTCTGTGGCAAGAGCTGTGGGAGGATTTTGCGGCACAGTGGGGAACTATCCAGAGGCAAAATTTCTGTCTTGGTTGGGAGTCTGGTGGGCACCGAGAGACCAGTTCTAACTCTGATGCACCTTGTGCTAGGCGCCTGAGGGAGCTGTGCTCGGGGTGGCGTGGTCACCCAGAGGAAGGAGTCCCTCTCTTCTGTCTAGCACCCACTTTTGAGGCAGGGCAGGGCAAGGGTGCACAGGCAGTGATGAACATAAAGGGAAATCACGTGTGCACAACATTTCAGCCTATCTTCCTCCCCACTTAGCTTAGGGAACCCCCTCTTGGACCTTTCCCCCGTGCAGTTCATCCCTCCCACAGCCCACACCTAGAGAATGAGTTAAGATCTGTTTGAAAAGGCAACTTGGGCAGGTGGCTGGAGTCTAGGCCCATAGGGTCAGGGAGTGCACTTAGACTGCCATTGCTAGCATGTGAGCTGGGGCCTGGACCTTGCCCCAGTGGGGCAGAAGCCAAAATGCCCTGGTTTGTGAGGAACTGCCCCACGTGTGACCTTTATGTCATGGATAACTTTCTACCTTGCCCTGCTGTTTCTTGAAGCCACAGGAGCAAGCAGTCTTTGTGAGGAAGAAGCCAGAGGGTTGAGGATTTGGTGACTGTCCCCAGATGACAGTTGATGGTGAAGGAAAGGGAGGCCCGCAGACAAGGATGGGACACTTGGGAAGGCACAGAAGGAGAGTGGGTGCCTCATCTCCCAAGTATCTGCGGAGTAGTGCACAGGTGCTCATGGGGACCAGGGCATGAGCTGGGGCTCTGCTGTTGTGGTGTGGTCCCATACATGTGTTGT